TACAGCGCTGCTAAACACAGTAGCATGTTAGCAGAATTGGCTATAACTCCTCTTGCTGTAACTGCATACACAGCAAAACAGTCCAAACGACACAACAGTGAGGAAGAGAAGAGGGAACTAAAGCAAAAAAAATTATCAAAGAAGAAATCAAGCCAGGGTGAACATAGCTAGCTCACATTGTATCCTCTGGAGAGACTTGTGTACATTCGGACACTGGAACTAGCAATAATCTTTCAGTATTATATTTTTTTAGCAGTGCATTGCTTTTGTACCATTTCATCAGGGATTGTCGTACAGCTTACAAGAAGTTGCGCGAATGCTAATGTTTGCATATAGATCGCAAATAAAACTAGATGTAGGATGAGAGCGTAGAGTAAATGAGAAGCCTGTTGAGGGGCGGTGCTAAACATTCAAACCTTGCAGAAATGGGTATAGCTCCTTTAATAAATACGCTTTTGGTTCTCACAAACATGTATTTATGAAACATAAATGATACCAGAGTTTTAAGAATAATCCACTGCAAGTCAGATTTAAACAAGTTTATGAAAATTGTATTTATATATTTTTCCTGTGTAGTTCAGGTGAACCAGACAGCACTTGTACCCATCCATACTGATATGTTGCAGCTGACTCATGCAGTGACATTTGTGACGCATCGCTGGACTGCCACTTTGGAGATTTGGACAAGCTCCTGGGACACTGATCACTGTTCAGGTTAAAACAAGAAGCATTCATACAGAAAATGTTTCCCCTTTTGACAATCTTAAAGTGATTGTCTGGAGTTTGTCAGAAAGAGAGACAGAGAGGTACTTGATTTGAAAAAAACTACGCAAGCTCCTCCCCCTTTCTTTCTGATTGGTCTACGCCTACGTTTCCGCAACACTTTGAAATGTTAATCAGAGAACACATTATACATATACATTATTAATACACATGCACGGAGGTTTTCAGAATTATTTGTGAACGTTTTAATGAAAAAAATGATGTTTTTATGCACAAAAAAAGCGTTCGCGGCAAACCAGGAAGTGCTATTATTATGAATTGCACATTATAGGACACATCTGCAGAGGATCTAATTATGGATATAGGTTCAGAATATAAATGGGTAACTCAGCGCGGATGTTCAGAATTCTTTGTTCAGTTTTCATGTAGTTCCAGAGCCTAATAGAGGCTTGATTCGGAGGCTCCGCAAAAACAAACAACTGAGCATGAGCAGCTACGAGCATCAGCGCCGATGATTGACAGCCCTTGGCATGACTCGTTTGGTTAACCTCGACGGCACCGTGGATTCTGAACTATAGCTAAGAGAAGGGAAGGCGGAACTTGCCCGTAATATTAGAATTAATAAAATGACTTATTTTATATCAACATTTAAGGCCAGGAGGTCAATTTAACACATTTCCTAAAATTTGTAATTCATTTAGTTACAGACTATCACTTTAAGGACGTCCGATCATAATAAGTTTATCTCATAAGGACATTTTCAGCCATGTGTGCTTCTGGACTGCTAAAATCACAAACCGGAGATATTTTGTTATTGCATTTGTTTATTTGGATGGAACAGTGTGTAAATACAATAGATTGTAGCTTTTTGTAGCTACTTTCCATCTGCAGTTCTGCAGTCACACTCACAAACATACTGTACACTCATTCAAACCTCATCTATGTTTTAAAACGCATGGTGCGCACCCGAAAGTTGGGTGGACATAGGGTCAGAGTTATTCACTGTTTGGATTATCAGCCTACAGTTTTAAAATTCAGTTCTCAAATTCAAATGATTAAACATCAGCTATAGGGAAAAACAACATTAATACTCGATCAATTATCATTTAGTCTAAACTTCATAAACATTAGTCGATGTGCATGATTTCTTAAAGCTGGAACGAACTAGGCCTAATAATAATCCATGTAACTCGTTCATAACTCAAAAAACCTCTATGTCTATTTCCTACACTAAAAAACGTGTGGTGAAAACATTTGGACATGTTCTTTTTCAAAATTTCTAATAGAAGGAATCCTACTGGAGAAATCTTTGGTGAGCAGATGCTGTACTAGAGGTTTTTGCTCACAACAGTTTAATTAACCTTTTTAAGTCAATCTACAGCAGATGACAAAGTTGTTTGCTACGATGGTACACAAGCTACTCTTATTGCCCTGTCTAGTGTAGTGGATAGGGAAATACAAATGTATGATTTGTTTAGTGTATGCTCAGGTGTGACAGACCATAACAAATGGACAGAAGGTGAGAACTGAGAGAAACACAAGCAGATAGGATGGAGGATCCTGGGGGAACTAGCCTATTTTTCAAATGCAGACAGCAAACAGCGAGCCACGTCACAATTGTGCAAGGAACAAAGACGCACGCACAGCAGCAGGCACAAACATCACACACAAGACATTATCAACGTGTGGGGAGTCCGCAAAGTCCACCTGCTGCGTGTGAGATCAAAATAAACACAAGGAACTTCAGAGGCACGTCCAAACACGTGTGTGTGATGTTATACATCAGAGAATAGTCTTTAAAGCAGCTCTGCAACATGTTGGTGCAACATGAACCAAATCTCAACCTCCAGATCACGTCCATATCACATCGGTCGACCGAGACCTTTTATTCACGTCCAAACGACGTCTGTGTAAGGTGCGCATCTGGACGTAAAACAATGACCCCCCATAGACGTTGATATGACGTTCAATCCGTACATCCATATCTGCCCTCTTACCCTCTAGTTGGAAACTGGAGATTGTTAGCATAACAAATGTATATGTTCACAAGTTTTATTCTTAACCACTACATAATCCTATGTTGAGTGTTGATTATTGTTTGACCAAACAGAGAAATATTGTTTGTTGAAATATGAAACAAATACACAGCGTCAACATGAACTCAAACCCATGCTGCCGATTCAGTAAACCTTTTACTTCAGACACCACATCAGACATGGTAAGACCAGCTTTGTAACAATCTTGTCACCAACCCACTAATCATACATGTTTCATTCTTAAAAAATACATGATCCTATATTGAGTGTTTATTTGTTTCTCACCAAACAGAAACATAGTTTGTTTAAAAAGCAAATTAAAAGAAATGCTCGGAATTTGAACTTGCAATGCTGCCGTAACAGATCTATTACTTGTCCCCAACACCAGTCTCAGACAACCTATTGAACATCCGAAGTCCACTTGACTTGCAGATCACGTCCATGACGCGTTGGTCAGTCGAGGACCCTTTTTTCACGTCTATAAGACGTCAATGTAGGTTCCACTTCTGAACGTAATATAATGACCTCCCATAGACGTTGTTATGACGTTCAATCTTTGATCGCTCAGTCCATTCTTCCTCTGTACCTGCTTTATTTACTTCTAATCACCCTCCATAGTAAATAAAAAGTCTGCACAGTTTTTTGAAATGGATGTATATATTTTCCACATCAAAAAGAGTTGGAGACAGAAAGTAAGTAATTTTCTAACATATAAGTGGAATTTGTTAAGTATATTTTGTATATTATCCATATTTTGAATTGCCGGTGTTGTCATCCTGCGTTTTTGAAACCATGGATCTATAATAATAACGGCTGGCACTGGTCAGCTGAAAGGGAGACGCCTTTGCCAACTAGACAACGCCTTTTACAGCTAGAACCCCATGTGCTCAATTGGGGTGTTGTGAGAGCCAAAAACAGTTAATAAAAGCTACAAAAGTGAAGCGGAGAGGCCTGCACACTCTGTTTGCTCTGAAGTCACGCTTGATCTCGAGAGATGTTGTGAGATTTCCGGTGACCTGTGAATGCTCGGGGGGTGAAATCGGTTCGTGTGTGATGCGTGTGGTTTGCGTGATTTTGCCGTGTGGCTGCACACCACACACTGTAAGGACCAAAGTGGTTAGACCCGTGAGTTTTTATCTCCGTGTGTGGGGTCTCACACGGAGAAAAAAATCGGCCAACAATTTTAAAATCGTCTCGTGTGAACCAGGTTGACTAGTTGATTTGTACCTGTCTGGACTTTGTCCATGTGCTCTGTCATGCAAACAAAGCACAAACGCAGCCTCTTCCACAGACTGTATAGTACCAAATCAGCTCCCATTAGAAGCTACCAAACTCTTCCACGTGTTCCCTATTTAAATACAGTTACGTGACGTGTTACACTACAAAGTATAGTAACACAGAAATGTAACATGTCAATTTTCTCAGCGTATAAAAAGGGGTACTATATTGTGAGGCGTATTAATACGAGGAGCACTACGTCCGCGCACTAACTCCTAAAGACTTCTCTCCCGCTCACTTCCGTCAATAGAAGCAGCGTAAGCGGGAGAGTCTTTAGGAGTTAGTGCGCGGACCCGACTGCTTTTGTACCACATTTCAACCTTGAATGAACGTGCCATACGTCAAATTTGAAAGTTGAAATTACGTTGTTTTGACATCGGCTTGCTTTGTGGGAACGACTGAAAACGAACGTCATATAAACATCAATATTTTGGTCATATAAGACGTCGGACCCGACCGGTTCTGTACCACATTTCAACCTTGAATTGACGTGCAATCAACGTCACATTTGGAGGTCGAGGTGACGTCAGGAAAAGTCGTCCAGATAACGTTAAAAAAGACGCCCGGATAACGTCGGGAAAAGATGTCCAGATGACGTTGGGAAAACTTTCATTCTGCACCCACCAGTGACCTATATTCTACGTCGGGCAACAACGTTGAAACAACTTTGGCTTGCTTAGTGGGATAATGACACAACAGGTTGTAAAACTAAAGAAAACACAGGGGAATAGCCTAAAACAATGAAACGGTCATGTTTATGCATTAGGGGTTACTTCCGACTTCCAGGGAGGCTTCACAGTGTGCGACCAGTGTAGCTACCTCGAGCAGAGTGTGTCTGGCGTTTCATTAACTTTTATCAGAGTGACTAGTGTGTCACCTTCTCAGTTTCGCAGCAATGTGGTTACTTAAACTACCAGCTCATCTTGTGTGGATTGCTTTTTTGTGCTTTGTACAAGCTACAGAATGATAGAGCCGAGTGTGTGTGGGGCTGGAGCCCTTCCGCGACTCACCTTGCGGGAGTCCCTCCTGCAACTCCGGTTCTCTGAGCGGGCCGCGGATCCACCGCCAGACATCCCACCTGAGCTTCACAAAACGGCAGCTCGACCCGAACGCCGCAAAAGGGGAAGACGAGGTGGTATCCACCGGAGACTGAAGCGCTTGTGCCTCCAGGACCGGCAGCGGATGCCCGCGCTCCCATCCATTCTGCTTGGGAACGTGCAATCTCTCCGTAACAAGCTGGAAGAGCTGGAAGCTTGGGCAACGGTGAGACAGGAGATCACCAATGCCTGTCTTCTTGTGTTCACGGAGTCTTGGCTTAAAGGAGCTATACCCGTTTCTGCAAAGTTTGAATGTATAGCACCACCCCTCAACTCGCTCACAGGCTTCTCATTTCTCCTACGCTCTCATTCCACGGAGCCATCTAGTTGTATTTGCGATCTGATACGTATGCAAACAATAGCATTAGCGCAACTTCTTGTAAGCTGTGCAACAATCACTGATGAAATGGTACAAAAGCAACGCACTGCTAACAAAATACTGTATATAACTGAAAGATTACCGCTAGTTCCGCGTCCGAATGTAGTCCGAGCATAGATAGTCCGAGGCAGAGGTCTCTTCAGAGGATACGATGTAAGCTAGATATGTTCACCCGGGCTTGATTTCTTCTTTGATCATTTTTTTGCTTTAGTTCCCTCTTCTCTTCCTCACTGTTGTGTCGTTTGGGCTGTTTTGCTGTGTATGCAGTTACAGCAAGAGGAGTTATAGCCAATTCTGCTAACATGCTACTGTGTTTAGCAGCGCTGTAGAGGCTAAAGGACGCAGCCTCTTTCTGTGAGCTGTTTTTTTACAGTTGTATACGTGCACCCCACGCTGACGCCACTGCTGCAGCTCAGCTGATTGGTGACGTAACTCAGACTTTAGACAATTTGCCCCGACGCCCCCAATTTTATCCTTGGAGACTTTATTCACTGTCGTGACTTGCAGCACTACCCAGAGGAATACAACTCTAGACTTGTGTTACGGTACTGTGAGTGATGCATACAAGTCACTGCCTCATCCTCCTCTCGGTTCTTCCAATCATAACTGCGTGAATCTAATGCCACAGTTCGTCCCTGCGTTCAAGCGTCTGCCACGAGAGGAAGAAAATGTGAAATATTGGTCAGAGCCTTTGAATGAAATTGAGGTTTCATAGAATACGGTTGAGGCCCTGCTTAAAAAAACAAAGGTCGGGAAGGCCAAAGGCCCAGATGCGATTTGTGGTCGCACTTTGCACCATTGTGCCACTCAGCTCAGCGGTGTGTTTTGTTTTTTATTCCAAAAAATGTATTGATCTTTGTCAGATTCCTCTTCCCAAATCCAAGAAATCAAAGGATTTGAGTTTCAGACCAGTTGCTTTAACTCACTGGTTATGAAAAGCCTTGAGCACATTTTAAAGACTCATATCTCTCTTTAATAGAAGGACAACTGGATCCACTGCAATTTGCATATCAACCAAAAAAAGGAGTTGATGATGCAAAACTGTTCCTATTGAATGTCATTTACAATGACAGAAGAGGCGAAATGTATTCGCCTCTATCTTCTACACGAACAGTTGTTGATCATCGGAGGAAAACAGACTTCTGCTTAAATTTTCAGACGACACAGTGCTGGTGTCACTGCTTGCCGGCTCAGAGATGGGCCATGGTCCTGCACTCGCACAATTTGTGTGAAAACCATTGCTTGGATTTAAATGTTGCAAAGACCAAGGACATGATCATTGATTTCAGACACGTTACATCCAATGGCACCAGCATCATCCACGGTGGGAATGTCAAAATCGTGGACAATCACAAATATCTTGGAACTACGATAGAAAACAAACTGAAGTTTGACATAAACACTCAGTCTATCATTAAAAGATTGCAGCAGAGAATGTACCTGTTGAGGAAATTGAACTCTTTTAATGTAAACAGGACAATTCTTAATAATTTTTATTGTTCTTTTATTGAAAGCCTTCTTAGCTTTTCTTTTCTGTTGGTTCCAAAGCCTGACGCTGAAGGACAGAAACAAGTTACAGAGTATTTTGAAAACTTGCTCTAAAATCACTGGAGGAAAACTCACACCCCTTCACTCTCTGTGGGAGGAACAGGTGCTGAATAAAGCAAAATGTATTCTGGCTCAGCCCAAACATCCTCTGATCGCTGACTTTGTAATGATGGCTTCAGAGCGTTGTTTTTATACTCCAGAACGGAAAACAAACCGGTTTTTTAATTATTTTGTGCCCTCTGCCATAAAACTGTTGAACTCTGGTAGAGGTGTTTGACTTTTGGGAATTGTGTTGTTTTTAACATATATTGTGTAACCTGCTGCTGTGTGAACTGTGAGGCCTGACTCACTGTGTGTTTGTGTAGCGTCTGTGTGTTCTGCTTTGAGATTATGCTGCAAATGAATTGTCCGTTGGGATCAATAAAGTTTCCACTCTCGCCTCTCAGCAAGAAGATCCTGGGTTTGAATCCCGGTCGGGACAGGGCCTTTCTGAGTGGAGTTTGCACTTAGTCCCCGTGTCTGGATAGGTTTCCTCCGGGTACTCCAGTTTCCCCTACCACTAAAATCATGTATATTAGGTCTGGCATGCACCTCCTGTACTGGCGACCCCGCTCCCATCTGTGTGTGGAGTGAGAGGACAAATGCCCAAAAATAACAATTATAAACCGCTTTGTGACTTTGGTCTGTGAAAGGCGGTATATAAATAAAGATTACTTGCTTCTGAATCTGAATCTGAAGTTAAATCCTTCTTATTAGTGGCACAACGTAATTTGAATATAATTCCTAATTAGTTAAGAATATTATATTCTCAAGGAGATATCAAAAATGTCTTTAGGTAGAACAAGATTCAAATGAGAGCCATTTTTAATTCGACAGCCATTAAAGTAGATACAGAGTTAAACCTCTTTGATAAATTAGCAAGAAATACATTTGCAGGATTTGACTAAACTTCAAACAGTATTCAACTATTCAAATATTACAGAACAATAAATCCTACCCTTCTTTCCCCAAGGGTTTCCCATTTGACAATTGGCTGATTACATGAACAATCTTGCTTGACAGATGATTAAAGCTAGTGTGTTCGCATAGTTGATGCCGGTTTTACATAGTTTAAGAAGTCTACATCATGCCCTAAATTATTAACCACTCCACATCATGGCATTTCCGTTGTAACAGGACAAAGCCACTCAGATTCCATGTAGTAATAATGTGGTATGGTGACATTTTCAGTCTGACATTTGTCTGAGACCATCTGTGGAGCCAACTGGTGTCAACAGGACTTCAGCTGTCCACTGCCAGAACATTAAACAACATCTATATGTTTTTTTTTTTTTGCAAAAACCAGATACACCAATGAATTCTTATTGTCCAATTCCTAAAAAATTCAGCTAACTAATCGAGGATCAAAATAGTTATTAATTATAGCCTTTAACATTACTATTCCTTGGTATTGCAGGTGCTACCTTTTGAAAGAGAAAGAGACATAAGTCTGATCAGATGGGATATCTGGAACGCGTGTGAGCTGTACAGGCAGAGATTGTGTTGCTTACAAAAGTATTGCGTATTGTGTTTGTTTTCATGGTCTCTGTGGGCTGATGTAGTCAGATGCGAGTGAAAGACTACTTTAGGAAATTAAAAAACCATGTCCAGAATTCCTGCCAAATCTGTCAAGACGGGGGTGATGTTGACTTTGGAGCGAGTACGGGTCTGCAGGCGGGCGGCAGAGATAGAGAATAAACGTAAACAACAATGGCGGTGGATCAACAAATGTTGTGTGGATGGAGCGTTACACGGAGGAGCGATTCTACTCCTTTGTTTGTCCAAACGAAACAACACAAAGCTGTAGTTTCAGTTTCCCTTTTTGCAGCTGTTAGTAAATGCAGAATTATGTTGTGAATTCTTTTGAAGAAGTGATTTTACTGATGGGGGTGTGTAGAGAATTTGCACTTCAAATAGGAAGATCTTTGTTTACACCTGCCTGCGCATGCGTCCCTCGCCGGGTGGTAAGAAGACAGAGCGGCACATACTGAAGCATGGATGCAACGAGTACATTTAAAAGACTCAATGGGCGAATAGCACTGTATATAAGCACTTTAACGCAAGAAGATCAGAGGAGATATAAAGACAAGCTAAAAATAAGTGTATGAGACCAAACTGAACAAATTCAAAGCCCAGATGAGACCTGGGATGACGAGATGAAACATTGGTCAGACTCACCTCTGTCTTGGCACCGATCTGCTGCGACTGGCCACAGACATTTATTCTTACTTCATAGAAAACCCGGGACCCTTCACTCAAGAAGGGCCCGTGGTGAAAATCCATTTCTCGCGTTTTTCACCGCGGTAAAGTGGCCCGGCATTTTGCCACACATTAAAAGTGGGTTGCCCCTTTTTGCTGTTACTTACGGTAAAGGTGGAACAGGAAGCCGCGGAATGAGCAACCAAAATGCAATGTTTGAAATTAATCATCAGTCGTGAATGAATGAATGAGTGAACAAGTGCGCAGTGAAAGTAGATGCAAAACTTTAATTTATTTATGCATTTTTATCCCCCCACCCCCCGGCTTCCCATTCTAAGTTTACCTTAGGTAACAGCATAAAAGGGCAACCACTTTATCGCGGCCGTTTTTCGCTCTTCTTTTCCGAAAGAATAAGAAAAAAAATAATCTGCCCCCAGCGGGCCGTACAACCAACCACACAACAAGAATGGACCATTTGTTTAAGTAAAACCTCTCTCCAAACGTCTAAAAGTAGCTAGCTCTCTAGCATCCAGGTAGCTTTCTATGCTGTATTGCTACCCGGTCACGTGACCGGCGCAGAAAAACTAAAAACAACAACGTCACGCCATAATCCTCCTATTCAGAACCTGACTTTTTTTGGCTAATTGCTTCAAAGCGTCTCTGCAACGTCCCGGCCTTAATGGCGAGAGATACTTCCTGAGGACATTGGAGGACTTTCGCGCTACTGTCTGACGTAGGGTTACCAACCGTCCCTTGAACTACGGAATTGTCCCGTATTATAGAAAAACTATGTGCGTCCCGTATTGAATGGATACGGGACGGCTTTTGTCCCGTATTATCAGAACCACCTTAAATGTATCACTCACTCATTGCATGTCACATGCGCGACACGCGCACACACAGTAATCACAGTTTAAGCGTCTACCTCGGCCAAACAGTGTGAAAGGGGGCATAGGCTTGATCACATCCATGGGCTTAATATTGACAAGTGGCAGCGTGGGCCGTGCCCGCAGCACCATCATGATAGAAGTTTGGTAAAGTAGCGTCATATTCCCAGATTCTGACTTCTGCAGTCAATAGCTCACGGAAGTTACTTTGTTAAACAAAAGTAATTTGCTAAAATGATCACCTCTACGTTGATTTTTCAAATCCAATGCACTGTTTTAATGCAGAGAAATCCATTGAATCCAATGCACTGCAAGCGCCGAGAAAAGCGCTTAGGGAGCGTCAACAAATGTAAAGACCAGCTTTGTAAACGAACAATAGCTTTTACTGAAGCCATTTACAGTGCACGACCATGTCGAGGTTTTTTTAATGAATACATGTTTTTCTTTTTTTTTTTTCTTTTACAATAAATGGTCTTTACTGTAACATACATAAATAATGAATGTTACAGCATTTGTCTTTTTTATATTTCTATCACTAATAAGAATGCATTAACCCTTTAGGCGCCAGAGTTTTTTCAAGAAAATATACAATTTTGATTTCAAGATTTCAAAAGGCTATAATTAATAGTTACTTAATGTAACTTAAGTTCTACGAATAGGTGCGTAGTCCCTTAGGACTTCGCTAGTGGGATATCACTCGTGACCCCCAGGTCACGCGCCAGAGAGATCAAAATAATTTGCTCCAAT